ATGTTTCTATTTTTTCCTAATCGTCTTTGACTCAACATGCAGTTAAATGTGCTTATGCATGTTTTTGTTTTTTTCTTCAACTTCTTCGTTTGAGTCTTTTACTAAATTCTTCCCAAATCCTCATAAACACTGAAAAAAAACACCACATAGAAGGCCAAGGAGACAAATTGGTAGCATCAAAGATGAAACTGCTGAGTCTGCAAATGGGAAACTGGTGAAGCACGCCACTTCTACCTTTTGCTTGGAAGTATTAGCCTCAAGTTTCTTAATCAGAAAAAGTGTTGAGCTATAGTCTGCTCAAGAGTGGCCATTTCTTCCACCCGAGTCTATTGGGAGGGGTCTCTGAAGCAAAGAGCACTGCAGTGACCACTCTACTTTTAAGATTATCATGATCCTGCCTAGAAGTGACCAGATAAACATGGACAGCAGAGATTCACTGGGCTTAGGGCCTGTCATGAAAGCCATGTTAGAGATAAAAACCCAAGAGATAGCTTTCTAAGTACAATCAATTATCACAGGTGTCTGCACCACAGAGAAATCAAATTCCTCCTAGAATCTGCCAAAGAAAATGCATCTGGGTAATCAAACTCTTTCTCTGACCTAGTGGGAACAAAAGCATCCAGTGCCTACATCTGTTGCTTAGGGCACTGCTGTGAAAAAGGTAGAAAAACGTGCTGTTAACCTTCAAATAGCTGAGCAAAACCGATCATTTGTAGAATCATACCGTGCATAGTATCAGGTAAGTGAGATTTGGGAAAGCTCCAGTAACCGGCAATGAGCAAAAGCAGGCAGAGGGCTCCTAGATAAAGGTTAACACAGCAGTAAAAAATGGGGTGTGAAAGAAGGGATCTTCAGATTTTGCCTTGGAGAATTTCAGCAATGTCTCATCCATCACCCGCTGAGCACAAACCAGTGTTGAAAAGTAGCATCAGAGGAAACCAAAAATATAGACCACAAGTACGCTAGCAACATGTTCTGAGCCTCAGGTTGATGATTCAAGACTCATGACCATCTTCTTTGTCCACAGAAAGCCTCTTCTTACAGTTAGTACAACTGGGAAAACCAGGCATGGTTACAGAACCTTGAAAAAATGATCACTACCTACCAAAGATGTTTATATTTATTTATTCACAAATAATATATACTCTGTTAATTAAATTAATATTTTCAAGCAAACCGTGAACACCCAAATACAGCACTTTTTTAAAAGCAGGCATTAAAATAAAATAAAAGCCTGCAGTGCAGCCCAGCATTCACAAGCCTGCTATTACTTCTCTCCTTAATTACCTGTGTATTCTTTTAAACCTGCAAATAAAAGCAGGTAAGAACAGAGAAAAAAATGTCACCACGAGAATCAAAATTAATAAAGAGTGAAAAGAGGTGCAAGCTCCTCTGAAAAAGAACAGAAAGGAAAAAATGTATTGTTTAAGAAAAGTGTGTGTGTATGGGGGTGTTGAAGAAGCCACACTCTTAAAGCATAAGGAGGAAAAATGAGACACACTCAGTTTCTAGCCAAATTTACAGAAATAAAAGTTCTTCTTTTAGGAACTCTGAAGCAAGCAAAGGGCCAAGCAGTACTTTAGACCTCTTGAAGATATGAAGAAATGTATAAAAGGAAGTGTTTAGACTACCCCCACCTGGTAAAAGAGGTAACAATAAAAAATAAAATAAATAAAAGCTTTAAAGGGAAAAATACAAACCCAAGAGAGTTGGTGAAAATGAGCAAAGGATGCTCTATGAAAAGATTTATTTTATTTCTGTAGATAGACACTGAGTATGGATCATTTGAGGACATAGGTGAGAGTCAGCTCCCATGTGGACATACAAATATGCTTGATAAGATGGAGAGATAAGGGATAAGACAGGGTTGAGACACTTTCCTGCATGAGGGAACAAAAGTGTAAGAGGCATGCTGGCCCTACATCACCTCAGTTAGTTAGGAGGTAGAGTGTCATGCTCCTTACTGGCCTGTCAGTAGCGTTGATTTAAATGCTCAGTCCTCTGCCCTAGGGGCAGTGATATACCATTGGCCGGTGGCTGCTCTTCAAAATGAAAAGGCACATATTTCTGCTCACATTCAGTGAAGTCCTGCAAAAATATATTACTCTAAGATGGATCATATTTTGATCTTTGTCTTCTCAGCAAACAGGAAATGTGAATGTTTATGCTGAACCATGTAATTGAAGAAAAAAAGATAACTCATATTGTAATATCTCAACAAGGATTTATCACAGTGACACTTTTTATATAGCCCGCTGAGTAAAATAGAACTATATTGTAAAATATAACTTTTTTCTAAAATTTTTTAAATTAATTTAATATTTACAGTTTAAAATTAAAAAAATCTAAACAGTAAACAACTAACATTCTATCATTGGAAAAAGATTGTCCCTCAGCATAGACTGGGAGTTGAAACCAGGCATTTTTTAGTGATAGCCCAAATGCTTCCACACACCATGTTAAGCATTAGCTGCTCCACCTGTCGGTTTTACAAAGTAGTGCAGTCCAACTACAGAACATTTTTAAAACAGAGCAGCATGCAGCTCTAAATGTGTGATGTGATGTGTGCAGTGCAATGTGCTGTATTATCGGGTGTGCATTCTGAGTGGTTGAGTACACAGTATATTTTAGTATTATAAGAGGGAGAGAGAGGAAATAAGCAAGGACTCAATATAGTCTGTAAGATCATGCTGTGCACAGATAATTGACATTCCCATTTAATAACAAATCAAAAAAGTTAAAACTCCATCTCTGCCTACATCAAGAAACATAAAATATGAATGCAGTATATTGATGGTTACTGTTTAGCATAATCACCATACAGTAATTGCCTGTCCCTTTTCACAATATAAATGAATTCTGAGAGCAAGAAAAATTATAAGGGAGGATCATATCTGCTCTTGTGAAGAACATGATTGATCGCTCAAATTGTGCTTGAATGAAATCATGGTCTATATTTTTATGCAATTATAAACTGTAATCAGATAGGTGTAAATTACAAACTGCAGTTTTTACCCTTAACTTTTTATGCTGTGCCGGCTTTTGCATACTCTCTAAAAATGAATAATTTTTTATGAATGTCAATAAAAATTACTACTTCTGTGAAGGATTTTCAAAGACACTTGCAATTTGGAATCTGGAGCTACATAGTAGCTAGCAGTAAAATAATTTGCACCCCAATCATAAACTAAAAGCTGCCTTATGTTCCTCATCTGTGAGTCATTCTATAATGCTTTCGTGGCATTTTAGAGATCATGAGATATTCTAAAAATATTAAATTAGTGCATTTGAAAATGGTTTCAAGTAAATCCAAATATTGAAATTTCAACCTTATTTCTTGAAGCATTAAAACAAATAAATATTTGCCATTTATTTTCAATAATTGCTTAGTCCAATACAGGGCCATGAAGAGCTGCAGGCTAATCGACAATTTGGGCAAGGCAGGACACAACCTGAATGGGACACTACTCTACTACTACTACCCTAGGGTACACACACATTCACACATGTTTATGGGGACAGCATAGTGATGCCAGTTGTCTTCAACAGTGGACACTCGACTGTGTGTGGAAATCGGAGCACCTGGAGAAAATCCACATGGCTAAGGAACAACAATTTAATCAATAAAATCAATAGAAGTCTAACATTTATGACACCCTCTTCTTCTTTGTATGAACATTAGCCTAACCCACTTTATAATTTATACTCCACACATCTAAAGTTGGTTCAGATTAAAGTTAAAGTTCATTACTAAGCATACTGAACTTCAAAAGAACAAAAAGTCTTAGCCAACTAGAAATCAATTAGCATAATTAATCAAAGAGCTGATGGAACAAAAAAACTGAAGACACAGGGGTACTCCAGGTTGAAGATAAAGTAGAACTCACTTTTTTCTAAAAAAATCTTAGAAGCTAATTTATTGTTGACTTGGCACTCATTACTTGCACATAGTCTACAAGCACCTTTGCAAACCAACTGCAGAAGGAAAGCCTTCCAAAATTAAGGACATAGACTTTAATTTGTTACATTCGAGTTTGCAGAGACAAGCTTAAAGTTCATGCTTAAATATTTTAAGAGACTTTGTTAAGAAAATGTGCTGATAAAATGTGAAAATGTGAAAGAAAATGCTGAAGCAGATCCGGGCAAATTTATTCCAGTATGAAACTTTTAGCTTTATCCAGCAATTAAAAAAAAACTCTAGTCTGAAGTTCACTGCAGTTCAGAATATATTGACTATGATTCTCCTTGCAGTTGTACAAGCATAGTGTATGCTGGAAAATTTTTTTTTGCTAACTATCACAAATACAAAGCATACAGTATATTTCATTACAGCAAATTATGCTGGCATCTTCTGTAATAAAAAAAATAGTATTAGTAAACTGATGGTAAAATTATGATTTATTAGGCCCAGAATGGCCTTTATGTTATTATAAGGTACCAATAGTCCTTCTAGAAATGGTGTACTTGGGGTATTTTCCCCATTAGCACTGAAGATTTGTGTCAAAGTAAATTAAGATTGTGCTACTGTATATTTCCACTTACTATTTATATTAAATACATACCTGCATTTATATGGTATTAAATAAAGCACTAGGTAAGAAATTATAAAAGTATTTTCATCTGAAAGTCTTAAGTGAGAAGATTCTAATCTAAAACCCTGTAAAAATATTTCCCTATAAATGCTAGTTGTTTTATTAAGATGGCAAAGTGAAACAGAGGTCAAGTTCATTAGCCTGATGAGAGCTGATAAGAGAAACATCAACTACAGCATAATATGTTTAAACTTAGGAGGCGAGAAATAACCAAGTTCATAAACTCTTGCAATCAAAAGAGAATGACAGAATGAAACCACTATAAATTTCTGAGATCCAATTACCATATGCAAATCTTCATCATCTTTCATTCACAAGTATAACAAGCAAAGAAGGTCTGTGTTACACAGTAAAAAAACAAAGGTTGTTTAAAGCATAAATATACCTTTGAAATGTAGCTTTCCTTACCTGTAACTGTCAATTCTGTTGTCCTTCGCACAACAAAGTTTCCAAATTGCAATTCACAAGTGTAATTCCCTATGTCATCTTCTCGAACTTCCCGAATGATGAGGGTATCCCTTCTTCGTACAATACTTTGTCTCCATTGTTTTGGCTTGCATTCCTTTAAACAAAGAATTAAACAAGTGACATTCCTTAGACTAAACTTTCATTGAAAAAATGCAAAAAAAAAATCGTTTTATTTAAAAGTTAACTAGCTTAAGTAAAAAATAAAACATCCTGGAGCTTTCTAACATTCTTAACCAACTGCCTCATATGTTTTTAATTAAAGCTAAAACTTTCAAACCATGTTGCCACTGCCATTATTAGGAACAGTCAGCTTAACAATTATGGATGTATATATAAATATTATATATACTGTAGTGGGTGTAGAAAGTTTTGACTCCCTATGTATTTTGGTAGACTTACATACTGTATTTTTTGTCCTTTTGATCCATACAAGATCCTCTATAATACAATAGTCTGGAGCTAAAAAAAAAAATTAAACATAAAAACCCTAAAAATCTTAATTGGAAAAGTATTCATCCACTCGCGAGTGGAGGATGCAGAAAACAATCCAGAACCTTCAACCACCAAGTCCACCTCCAAATTTTAGCAGCTGGGAAAGACATTGGTCAGAGAAGCAGTCCAGAGGTCAAAAACAGCCCTCAAAGTCGTACAATGTCTCATAAATGAATTTGTGAGTGAATTAAGAATAGCTCGGGTGTTCCACTAATCTGTGTGGTGGAGTGGTGAGGAGGAAGCCATGTTTGAAAAAAGCTCACATGAAGTCTCTTACTGAATATGCAAAAAGGCATGATGAAGCCTCTGAAACGAAGGAAGAGAGGGAGAAAATTAAACCTGTAAGATGTGAAGAGCTGGTTACTACATACTGCAAAAGACATGAGACTGTAATTGCTGCCAAACGTGGAGCAACTAAATGTTAAATGTTTGAGGTGTCGGAGGTGGCTGAATACTTGTCCAAGCTGTATTTTTCAGTTTTCTTTTTCTCATTGAATTTTCATTTGCAGTACAAATGATTATGCCCCATCAAAGTATTAGGTATATTTTTTAATCATACAAAAAATCCAGTTCAAATTCGAGGTTGTAACACAACAAAATGCAGTAGATGTCCAAGGGATTCTACACCCACTATGTTGTACAGTATATACTGTATATGCGCAAATGTTTTACAAGACATTTGTCAAACAAAATGTACCAGTTCCCAAAATCTGAAAGATATTTTTCATTAAACTCTCACAGTCATTGTAAGATTCACCATCCTTTCTTGATTTGATTTGAGCTATGTTAATGAAATAAACCTGTGCTGGGTTCCTCTCTTTTTTTCAAAAAGAATGTCTTAAAGTTCTTACCCATGATGCTTTCTAAATGTCTTTGGTCAGGCAAGAAATCGCTAGTGAGCTAATTTATTATTTCAAAAACAAGAATATTTCTCTTTGAAACTACTATACTGTATATACAGTAATATCATGTAATTAGCCAGCCCATGGCTAAAAACCAGTGAAGATGTACAGTACAATGAAATTTGTGCCAGACACTTTCCACATATGGTCCCAAAGCTCTCTATACATAGATTTATCACATTTACATTATAGCATGCAATGCAGATCTCCAAGTGAAAATGTATGGGGATTTTCCACATTTTTCATCATTCTCATGTAAATTCAATTTACTTTATCTGCCTCTTTGGCTGTTTTGTTTTAGGCACAAAGCTAATTTTCTAGAGATTTTCTCCTAAATATGTATGTGCACTAGCTCTTCACATGAAGAAATCTACACATGGAAATTATCTTAATATGAGCTCTTTATTTTAGCAGTAGAATGTGTGAATGAATGTACAGTAGTTTAGATACTAATTTCTAAAGAAAGGGGCATTTTCATACAAAAAAGTTAAAAGAATTAATTAAATCTTTTAACATGCATTGTTAAACTATCATGGCAGCTTCCCCCTGTATTTAAAGCTAGGGGAAAATTATGTTCCTTATCTTTGGATTTTTGTCTTGGCCAAAACCCTTTTTTCTAAACTATTTAAATGGCTGTCTTGTCCTCAGAAACTTTTTTAAAACTTTCTAAAAAAACTATTCCGCCCCCTCAATTTAAATGCCTCAAGGTTGGTGCATTGCAGATATACAGTATATTATATAATTCAAGAATAATTTCAGTCAGGTAAACTGTTTCTGATTTTTTTCTTTTTTGTATGATTCAGTAGTGACAGTCTCTTTTCTTTGTGTACTGTAGACAATCAATGATGTCAGTTTAATATATTACCTTAAAGAACTTTTATCTTTTTCTTAATAGTAAATGCTTTGTTTCCTTTCTTTGCTGGCTTTTGTCATTATAAAGTCAGTGTCAGTTTGTTTATGTTAAGGTCCCCAAAATTAAATAAAAGACTTTCAACTGAACCAGAATTCAAAACTGATAATTCCTCCATTTTCTAGCCTAATACAGAGTCATGGGGGAGACAGAGTCTATCCCAGCTAGCAACAGGTGAAAGGCAGGACACCCTGGATCGAGTGCCAGTCCATTACAGGGCACACACAGACATGAACACACACACACACTATGGCTGCCATCGCAACATCCAGGTGGATGCTGCACATTGGTGGTGGTGGAAGGGAATCCCCATTACCCGTAAAGCGCTTTGAGTGGAGTGTCCAGAAAAGCGCTATATAAGTGTAAGCAATTATTATTATCATCAGGGCCAGTTTTCCCAGAAGGCAATTAACCTACCAGAACATCTTTGGACTGTGGGAGGAAACCTGAGCACTTGGAGAAAACCCATGCAAACACATACATACTCCATGTGTCACGGTCGTAATCCCTCCACTTAAGGGCGTATTTTACCTTTCGTATTTTAGTTGATTATGAGCACCTGCCTCCTGTTTTGTCTCCTGTTTTGTCCCACTATTTAAGCCTGGCACTCTCGCTATTCCTGGCTGTGCATTGGAAGATGGAAGCCCAGAAGCCCGCCTACCAGCGGGTCCAGGAGACTGTCTGGATCAGTTTGCCTTTGCCATGCCCCCCCAGCATCGGATCACCACCATCACGCCCCCTGTCTGTCAACCCATCCTGATCCTGCTGTACCTTCCCCTGATGTCCTTTTCCACTTACTTCAGGATTATACTGTCTGCATAGGGTCCTGAACTACGCTTCATGGGAGCCTGGACTGGCTTCCATTACACCATGCAGATGACACCCCAGGAATTCAAACCAGGGCCCCGAGTCTATGAGGCTGCAATGCTAAGAATTGCACTACTGTGCTGCTCCAGAATAATTATATGTACAAAAAAGTGTTGAACACATGTAAAGAACATGTGTAGGAAATCATACAGAGCTAAAAGCAGATATTTTGCTTGATATTCTGATGGTATAAGAATACAATCTACAATGTCACTGGAGGAAAAAAGACTACTGAAGTTAATAGTACATGCAAAATATAACTGTTGACGAGTGCAGACAGTCTCATTTATAGTGTTTGCATATAAACGATGATAACAGTTAATGCAAGAAAAAAATCTAAATACAAAGTGGCTTAAGATGCCTGCTTCCTTATTTGTTTTCGTATATCATGCTTTTTGTAGACAATGTGCAAATACTGTATACTAACACACACACACACACACACACACACGCACACACACACACAAGGGAATGTTTATAAGTAATATCCTAGGGGAGAGGTCAGTCAGTTTTTTCATCTTTTTTTGTTTGTGTAATAAGTGTAAACCACAATTTCCACTGTAGGTCAAATGAGCCTAATCTGCCTTATTCATTGTGGTAGTGTCACATACAGTAAATATATAACTGTATACTAATTGAATGAAATTTGAGTAACAGAATATGATAGACTCAAGCATTGACGAAAAACCAATAAAGAACCTGTAAGAAATGATACAGTATCTACAGGATATAGTATATTGTATAAATGTTCACAAAACAGTAATATTATTTTTTTTTTCAACTCAACTTTTAATTTTTAACATACCTTAAAGAATAACAAAATGGTGCTTACCTTATACCACACAATGTTAGGCTCCCTTTGAGGCAGTACGTAGTCCTCAATGTCAGGGCATGTAATCTCTTTGCTTTTGCTAAGTTCGCCTTTTTCAAAATACCTCATTTTGGAATTGTAGCAGAGATCTGTGTCATTTTCAGCCACAGTTAGTGACATGGAGACTTTCATACAATATGTTGAATTTCTGAAATAGAAAAAAAAATAACATACAACGTTATGTGGTGGACATTATTAGCAACATGTAAAATTAAGAAGTACTGTATTTAATTGCTCTGTATTAACAGATTGAGTCTGAGAATAAGCTGAAAACAGATGGCATAATGTTCAGAATGATAACGTTTGTTTCCAATTGCTTTGAATCATTGCCTAAACAGAATGCTTAATATAGTTTTTTGTATAGTTCAATTTCCATTTTACTCCTATTCCAATTAACAGTAGAAGTAATAATAATAATAGTGATCAAAGTAATAGTTTTCTGTGAAATAATAAAACTTCTTGATAATGATAGCAGTTTTTTAATTATTCTATTTCTACCTGTCTGCGTAACAGTTACAATTTAAAGATTATATGAGAGAAATAAAGAGAATATTATTAAAATCAAAAAGTAGGAGAAATGATTATCTGACTATTAAATGCATTCATGCTGCCTCTGATGTAAAAGGCATTAGTTTTAATGCCTGCAGTCAATTAAGTCAATCTCCCTACAGATATAATGAGGACGAGCTCTACCCTGCAGATAGATGTTACAGATCAGTCCTGGTCCAGTATTGTATTTAAGCTCTTTGGTATAATGCATGAAATTTTTGACATAAACTTCCACATTTCTTGTATGTCCATACTGAATGTTAAAAACAAAGTTTTGAACTTCATTAAAATACAACTTCATTGTTTTTTCCCCTTGGTATGAGGAAACCTGTGACATTTGTGTAAATATGAGTGCAACCAGAGCAATTCAGTTGTTTGAAAAATAGCCCTTAAGAAACAACGTAATGCAAAAAAAACAATAATAACAATGGCCCATATTCACAAAAAGGTCAGCACAAATTCTGTTTTTTTTTAAATGTATAATGCAAATACAAATGCAGTAAGTCATAGAGTATATTGTTTATTTTATAAAGAGCTGCGTATGGGTGTTATTCTTCATTAATCTTATGGTATGTGATACAGTACTGTATGTGTTTTTAGCTACAAGAAAACATAATGAGGATACAGAATTTGTGGAACATGCTAACAGTTTTTACAATACCCACAAAGCCTGCTTTTATAATATTGATAATTTTTTCTTTTGGGATCTTGGGTTTCCTCTTATAAATAATTTAAATTTGCTTCAGGAGTGATAAGACCTTGAAACTCTCAATCCAGGCTTTTGAATCCGGGATGTACCACTTGCATATTTTGGCTGTCGTAAGTTTAACTGAACACTGCCAGATAGTGTTAGAAAAAAGATCCCTGACAGATGGCAGAGCCTATTCAGGCTGGCCATTGTAACTATAACATTGTACCTAAGTCCCCCTCCTCCTGAAGCCTGTGTAATAGCAGGTAGAAATACCCCCAGATACCTAAATGGCTCACGCTCATTAAATTAAGCTTAGAAGAATGCACAGTACAGTACCTTGTACAACAGGATTCAGATGTTTCGTATGGTGTTCAGTTAAATTACAAAGTGATGCATACACATTTTTAAAAAAATAAGTCGTTTAAATCCTGAACGCTTAAACTAAACACTTCTAAAAATCAAGGTAACTTACAATAAATGCTAAAATTATCATAAAGATAATAACTGAAATATCTGGATTGCATATGTTTTCAGACCCATGAACTCAATATTTTGGTCTTAATGCAAAACATTACACCAAAAGCTCCAGATGTCTTGCCTGGCCACAGAACTTTTGGCCACATGTTTGCAGCTCCTTTAGGTACTTTCTTGCAAACCCTTTGAATTTATTTTTTTCGGAGTTCCATAGAAGCACCCTTTTTAGAGCGATAGGGGTACTGTTAAATAGTGGGCATTTTCACCTATCTCAACCACTGAACCCAGAAACGTCTTAAAAATCACCGTTGGCCTCAGAGTGGTATCGTTAGTTTCCTCCTTGGCCTGCTACTCAGTTTGGAGGGATGGCCTGATCTACAGTACTGTAAGTGTCTGGGTGGTACAATGCATCTTCCACTTGTTAGTGATTGGGTAGATTTTGCTCACAGGGATATTCCAAGTCTTTGACATTTTTGTCATCTTCTCCTGATCTGTAACTTTTCATTGATTTGATTATTGACAGAGATTTTATTCTGAAATCATGAGAACCACTATTCTCCATAGTTTCCACTTGTGTCCTTTGGCTCATACAGTATTTCAGTGTTAATTTTCAAGGAGCTCACTTAGTTAATTTGCCTTTGAGGATTAGTATAGATCCCTGTGGTACTTCACTAATAACATCACCGTGACATGGAAAAATTCACCACAACTTGGCAGTAATTTAAAAAGACAGATTTGTACAAAAACAACATTTAAAAAAACTCTGATCTCTGACTTTGTATATGTAACCGACTATGTTGGAAACAACATCATAATATACATTTCTGTGAAGATGAAATGAAGATTACTTTATCTTGCAAGTTTCATTTGTCCTACAAGAACTATCAAGTACTCGTGAACTGACAGTTATTCTAGCAGATACAGTTTATCCAAACTCCTTGAAATATTCCTCACTGGCACAGGGCTTTGTTGCAGAATACCATTCTAATTCTATTAGTTTTACTGAAGGTTTGTGGAAATAGAAATGGAGATTTCATGGAACATGGTGTTGGAAAAAGAGCTAAAAATATTTCTTAAGGTTATGTAAGCTCAGAACCTTTGGCATATGGTAGGAGTCTGGTTGATCTAATGCAGTGAATTAAGAGTCAGAAAGTTAGTCCTTGGGACGTACAGAACAATGAAACTGAGGAATTAATAATTGCATACAAAGCTCTATCACAGCAGATGTACAGCACAGGCAGTACAATAAACAGACTCTGCGTCAAAACCTTTAGTGATTTTGTTGAAAAACCGACTGCATGCTTCAATCTAGATCAATTAAAAAAGAAAAAGGAAAACACATTGCATTCACTGGGCTTTTTCAAGGCAATCAGGAAATTCAAAACAAGTGTTTAGTTAGATGTAGAAACCTTCATGTTAGGATCTATTCCAGGCTTTGATAATGAAACATATCTAATTTGGACAAATGCAAACAAGATTTAAAACAAACAAAGCAGTGGACCAAGTTTGAATTGCAGTTGAAAAATTATTTTCATGAACATGAAAGGCTAAAGGGTATTTATCAGTTGTTTCCAATTTCGTGGATTCTGACAGAGGTGCTTCTCTGCATGGGCAGTTGAGTGTAAACAATGTCAATCCATTCATTTTCTAATCCACTTATCCAGTACAATCATGGGGAAGCTAGAGTCTAACCTGTCAAGCAACAAGTGCAAGGAGGGACACACCGTGAGTGGGATAACAGTCCATCACAGGACAAAGACAGGCACAAACACACACACTCTCGCAACAGTGCCAGCTCTTACAGAAGACAATTAATCTACCGGTTTGTCTTTGGTCTGTGGGACGAAACCAGAGAGAATGGGTTAACCACCTAACAATAATTGAACTGTAAGTTCACCGAACTGCAAGGTCCTTGAAAACTGCCTTTTACGTTTATTTTTCAGTTTATGTTGTCCTGGTGACTGTTTAATACAACTGCTAATGTAACACATCTTGTTAAAGAGGGTAATGTTAGGCCTGGGAAGATGGAAAACATTAAATTCCCCACGGCCTGGCCTTTCACACGGCAGATGTTTCCACTGCCTGTGAAGTGGTGTGGTTCTGAAGCTGGAGATGCCCAGAAGCACCCATGATTGCATCCCCAGAGGGGCAGAGCCACACCATATGGTACCTGAGGAAACCAGATTCTCAAAAGCATGTTTCTGCATAAACACTCCGTGCTGATTAAATTCAGGTTTTGTAAACCATAACTATTTTAGCCTAGTCAATGGAAAAACAGTAAACAATAAACTATCTTGTTATTTTCCTTTCTGCTATTCGTCATTTATAGAGACATTCTCTTAGACATACAACCACATATAATGTAACACTAAAACGTTAATTTCTTGTGTTCCAATTGGTTCCATCATGGAAGAAAAAAATAATTATAATGATGATATAAAAACTTTGAAACATCTGAGTCTACTTCCTTGTTTTGATTCAGAAAGAATTCAGATGGATTGTTACATTAATGGAAATTGTGAATTGTGTTATTTGCAATAATAAGGCATTCAAACAGGTTTAGATGGCTAGGGATAGCTCACATTCAAACAGTCCAATCGGCCCCAGAGAGCATCCAACACTGGTTACATAGAGCAGTCAAAGTAAGCAAATCATATCTCACAGCTTGTTTGAACTTCAAGAGAGTTATCTAGTCTTTTATAGTCTGTTAGGATTTGAAAAAAACACCAGTAGAAAAGTATATAAACTCTGAATCTGGACTTCTGGCCCGGTGGAGACAGCAAACTAATTTACTTTCACCACACATACTGTAAATTACATGTTTTTTTTTAATTGAACTCTTGATTCATAGTGTGTAGTTTTCTGTAGTTGTTTTTAGGTGCTGTTTTTCAAGTAGAATCTGAACTCTTAACGTTTACTGTATTAACAGAGACCTGTAGATCGCTGGATGTAGCTTTGGTGTTCTTTGCAATTTCTAGGTGCATCGTACAGTTTGATCACCCACTCCTGGGTAGACTGGAAACCATTTTGACCTTCATCCATTTGTAAATGATCTTTCTCACTGTAAAATGATAGATTTCATACTGTTTGAAAATGACTTCATAACAGTTCCCAGATTAATGAGCAGCAATGATTCTTTCTCTATGACCGTCACAGATATGTCATAATTATTTTGACCTAGCAGTGATACAGTATGTTAGCACGTACCTGAATGCTCCAGACCAAAATGACAAAGTTTCTGATTTTACATACAGGTGGATGATCAACTCATCATGTGCACTTGTTTAGCAGCACCTGATTCTTATAACCATCATAACTGTTATGCAGTAAGGGCCCACTTACTTTTTCACAAGTAAGGCTTCTGAATGTTTGGCTGATTTTTTGTTTAATAAATATGACAAAGTAAAAACAAATGTCACATGAGGTTAGATTTA